TCTGTTTCTAACCGGTTCATAGCTCTATCTAGTTTGTTTCTCTAACGGTTTATCTTCTTCAACTCATTTAAATAAGTGTATACAGTAGTTTGATAGCTGAGGACCATACAGGAGGGTGTGGTCTTTAAAGGATGTGTAGTACAGGAGGGTATGGTCTTTAAAGGATGTGTAGTACAGGAGGGTATGGTCTTTAAAGGATGTGTAGTACAGGAGGGTGTGGTCTTTAAAGGATGTGTAGTACAGGAGGGTATGGTCTTTGGGAGTGGCTATATACAGGACGGTCCTGTATATAAGGTCTCTGAAATGGCTATATACAGGACGGTCCTGTACAGAGCCATTTCAGAGACCTTATATACAGGACGGTCCTGTATATAAGGTCTCTGAAATGGCTATATACAGGACGGTCCTGTATAGAGCCATTTCAGAGACCTTATATACAGGACCGTCCTGTATATAAGGTCTCTGAAATGGCTCTATACAGGACCGTCCTGTATATAGCCATTTCAGAGACCTTATATACAGGACGGTCCTGTATATAAGGTCTCTGAAATGGCTCTATACAGGACCGTCCTGTATAGAGCCATTTCGGAGCTTGTATACAGGACGGTCCTGTACAGAGCCATTTCAGGGCTTCTGTGCAGGACCGTCCTGTATATAGCCTCGGCCATGGTCTTTAAAGGATGTGTAGTACAGGAGGGTATGGTCTTTAAAGGATGTGTAGTACAGGAGGGTATGGTCTTTAAAGGATGTGTAGTACAGGAGGGTGTGGTCTTTAAAGGATGTGTAGTACAGGAGGGTATGGTCTTTAAAGGATGTGTAGTACAGGAGGGTATGGTCTTTAAAGGATGTGTAGTACAGGAGGGTGTGGTCTTTAAAGGATGTGTAGTACAGGAGGGTGTGGTCTTTAAAGGATGTGTAGTACAGGAGGGTATGGTCTTTAAAGGATGTGTAGTACAGGAGGGTGTGGTCTTTAAAGGATGTGTAGTACAGGAGGGTGTGGTCTTTAAAGGATGTGTAGTACAGGAGGGTGTGGTCTTTAAAGGATGTGTAGTACAGGAGGGTATGGTCTTTAAAGGATGTGTAGTACAGGAGGGTATGGTCTTTAAAGGATGTGTAGTACAGGAGGGTATGGTCTTTAAAGGATGTGTAGTACAGGAGGGTGTGGTCTTTAAAGGATGTGTAGTACAGGAGGGTGTGGTCTTTAAAGGATTGTAGTACAGGAGGGTGTGGTCTTTAAAGGATGTGTAGTACAGGAGGGTGTGGTCCTTTAAAGGATGTGTAGTACAGGAGGGTATGGTCTTAAAGGATGTGTAGTACAGGAGGGTGTGGTCTTTAAAGGATGTGTAGTACAGGAGGGTGTGGTCTTTAAAGGATGTGTAGTACAGGAGGGTGTGGTCTTTAAAGGATGTGTAGTACAGGTATTACAGATGGAGTTACAGTAGTCCGGCAGTGGCTCAGTCAGTAGGGGCTTGGACTGGGAGCACAGGATGTATTTATATATATATATATATATGTGTATTATTATATATGTGTATTTCTGTGTGTATGTAGGAGCGGGGCAGGACGTGGGGCGCAGCTGCATTCTGGTCTCCATCGGGGGGAAGAACATCATGCTGGACTGTGGCATGCACATGGGATACAACGATGATGTAATATTACTATCATTACATTAAAGTAAACATGTTGTTGTTGTTGTTGTTGTCATATAATAAGGCTGTGTTTCAGAGGCGGTTCCCAGACTTCTCGTACATCACTCAGAACGGACGGCTCACTGAGTTCCTGGACTGCGTCATCATCAGGTCCTTATTACACTTCTTTAATATATAGACATGTATTCATGAGGATGAACCGTCTGGTTTTCAAGGGGGTCCCGACAGAAGCAACGTCTCACAGACAGACGTGAACAAAACAACAAAGCAAAGCATGAATATACAAATAAATAAATGTTGACCCATTGTCCCAGTCACTTCCACCTGGACCACTGCGGGGCGCTGCCCTTCATGAGTGAGATGGTGGGCTACGACGGACCCATCTATATGACCCACCCCACGAAGGCCATCTGCCCCATCCTGCTGGAGGACTTCAGGAAGATCACTGTGGACAAGAAGGGGGAGACCAACTTCTTCACGTCGCAGATGATCAAGGACTGCATGAAGAAAGTAGTTCCTCTCAACCTGCACCAGACCGTCCAGGTGAGACCAGATCACACACCTGAGGGTCTCCACAGATCAATATCACACACCTGAGGGTCTCCACAGATCAATATCACACACCTGAGGGTCTCCACAGATCAATATCACACACCTGAGGGTCTCCACAGATCAATATCACACACCTGAGGGTCTCCACAGATCAATATCACACACCTGAGGGTCTCCACAGATCAATATCACACACCTGAGGGTCTCCACAGATCAATATCACACACCTGAGGGTCTCCACAGATCAATGGCACACACCTGAGGGTCTCCACAGATCAATATCACACACCTGAGGGTCTCCACAGATCAATATCACACACCTGAGGGTCTCCACAGATCAATATCACACACCTGAGGGTCTCCACAGATCAATATCACACACCTGAGGGTCTCCACAGATCAATATCACACACCTGAGGGTCTCCACAGATCAATGGCACACACCTGAGGGTCTCCACAGATCAATATCACACACCTGAGGGTCTCCACAGATCAATGGCACACACCTGAGGGTCTCCACAGATCAATATCACACACCTGAGGGTCTCCACAGATCAATATCACACACCTGAGGGTCTCCACAGATCAATGGCACACACCTGAGGGTCTCCACAGATCAATATCACACACCTGAGGGTCTCCACAGATCAATATCACACACCTGAGGGTCTCCACAGATCAATATCACACACCTGAGGGTCTCCACAGATCAATATCACACACTTGAGGGTCTCCACAGATCAATATCACACACCTGAGGGTCTCCACAGATCAATATCACACACCTGAGGGTCTCCACAGATCAATGGCACACACCTGAGGGTCTCCACAGATCAATATCACACACCTGAGGGTCTCCATAGATCAATATCACACACCTGAGGGTCTCCACAGATCAATAATCACACACCTGAGGGTCTCCACAGATCAATGGCACACACCTGAGGGTCTCCACAGATCAATATCACACACCTGAGGGTCTCCATAGATCAATATCACACACCTGAGGGTCTCCACAGATCAATATCACACACCTGAGGGTCTCCACAGATCAATGGCACACACCTGAGGGTCTCCACAGATCAATATCACACACCTGAGGGTCTCCACAGATCAATATCACACACCTGAGGGTCTCCACAGATCAATGGCACACACCTGAGGGTCTCCACAGATCAATATCACACACCTGAGGGTCTCCACATATCAATATCACACACCTGAGGGTCTCCACAGATCAATGGCACACACCTGAGGGTCTCCACAGATCAATGGCACACACCTGAGGGTCTCCACAGATCAATATCACACACCTGAGGGTCTCCACAGATCATATCACACACCTGAGGGTCTCCACAGATCAATATCACACACCTGAGGGTCTCCACAGATCAATATCACACACCTGAGGGTCTCCACAGATCAATATCACACACCTGAGGGTCTCCACAGATCAATATCACACACCTGAGGGTCTCCACAGATCAATGGCACACACACCTGAGGGTCTCCACAGATCAATATCACACACCTGAGGGTCTCCACAGATCAATGGCACACACCTGAGGGTCTCCATAGATCAATATCACACACCTGAGGGTCTCCACAGATCAATATCACACACCCTGAGGGTCTCCACAGATCAATGGCACACACCTGAGGGTCTCCACAGATCAATATCACACACCTGAGGGTCTCCACAGATCAATATCACACACCTGAGGGTCTCCATAGATCAATGTAATTTGACTTGATGTCATGGTGCATACATAAGAAGAAAAAAAATAACATAACAAATATTAGAAATAATTAAAAGTATAGTAAAATATGAGGGAAAGAGTTCAGCCTCTCGTCCAACAAATAGGTGTGTGTGTGTGTGTGTGTGTGTGTGTGTGTGTGTGTGTGTGTGTGTGTGTGTGTGTGTGTGTGTGTGTGTGGTGTGTGTGTGTGGTGTGTGTGTGTGTGTGTGTGTGTGTGTTGTGTGTGTGTGTGTGTTGTGTGTGTGTGTGTGTGTGTGTGTGTGGTGTGTGTGTGTGTGTGTGTGTGTGTGTGTGTGTGTGTGTGTGTGTGTTTGTGTGTGTGTGTTGTGTGTTTGTGTGTGTGTGTGTGTGTAGGTGGACGATGAGCTGGAGATCAAGGCGTATTACGCGGGTCACGTCCTCGGAGCCGCCATGGTTCAGATCAAAGTGGGCTCTGAGTCCGTCGTCTACACCGTGAGTCTGAAGAACACCTCCATCACATGACCTACAGAAACACCTCCATCACATGACCTACAGAACACCTCCATCACATGACCTACTGAACACCTCCATCACATGACCTACTGAACACCTCCATCACATGACTTACAGAAACACCTCCATCACATGACCTACAGAAACACCTCCATCACATGACCTACAGAAACACCTCCATCACATGACCTACAGAAACACCTCCATCACATGACCTACAGAAACACCTCCATCACATGACCTACAGAAACACCTCCATCACATGACCTACAGAAACACCTCCATCACATGACCTACTAAACACCTCCATCACATGACCTACTGAAACACCTCCATCACATGACCTACAGAAACACCTCCATCACATGACCTACAGAAACACCTCCATCACATGACCTACTGAAACACCTCCATCACATGACCTACTGAAACACCTCCATCACGTGACCTACAGAAACACCTCCATCACATGACCTACAGAACACCTCCATCACATGACCTACAGAAACACCTCCATCACATGACCTACAGAAACACCTCCATCACATGACCTACTGAAACACCTCCATCACATGACCTACTGAACACCTCCATCACATGACCTACTGAAACACCTCCATCACATGACCTACAGAAACACCTCCATCACATGACCTACTGAAACACCTCCATCACATGACCTACAGAAACACCTCCATCACATGACCTACTGAAACACCTCCATCACATGACCTACAGAAACACCTCCATCACATGACCTACAGAAACACCTCCATCACATGACCTACTGAAACACCTCCATCACATGACCTATAGAAACACCTCCATCACATGACCTACAGAACACCTCCATCACATGACCTACTAAACACCTCCATCACATGACCTACTGAACACCTCATCACATGACCTACTGAAACACCTCCATCACATGACCTACTGAAACACCTCCATCACATGACCTACTGAAACACCTCCATCACATGACCTACTGAAACACCTCCATCACATGACCTACAGAAACACCTCCATCACATGACCTACTGAAACACCTCCATCACATGACCTACTGAAACACCTCCATCACATGACCTACTGAAACACCTCCATCACATGACCTACAGAAACACCTCCATCACATGACCTACAGAAACACCTCCATCACATGACCTACTGAAACACCTATACATATATATATATTATATCAGCATCTCTGATAACTTCTTCTCTCTGTTTCAGGGCGACTACAACATGACTCCTGACCGACACCTGGGGTGAGTCTGCTGCCATTATACTTCATCTTCATCATCACCCTCCTCCTCTTTCTCACTCTGTGTGTGTGTGTGTGTGTGTGTATGTGTGTGTGTGTGTGTGTGTGTGTGTGTGTGTGTGTGTGTGTGTGTGTGTGTGTGTGTGTGTGTGTGTGTGTGTGTGTGTGTGTGTGTGTGTGTGTGTGTGTGTGTGTGTGTGTGTGTGTGTGTGTGTGTGTGTGTGTGTGTGTGTGTGTGTGTGTGTGTGTGTGTGTGTGTGTGTGTGTGTGTGTGTGTGTGTGTGTGTGTGTGTGTGTGTGTGTGTGTGTGTGTGTGTGTGTGTGTGTGTGTGTGCAGTGCTGCGTGGATAGATAAGTGTCGTCCTGACGTCCTGATCTCAGAGTCGACGTACGCCACGACCATAAGAGACTCGAAGCGCTGCAGAGAGAGAGACTTTCTGAAGAAAGTGCACGAGAGCATCGAGAGGGGGGGCAAGGTACATATAAACATCATATATATACATAATATATGAGATTATTATTATTATAAACTGTGTGTGTGTGTGTGTGTGTGTGTGTGTGTGTGTGTGTGTGTGTGTGTGTGTGTGTGTGTGTGTGTGTGTGTGTGTGTGTGTGTGTGTGTGTGTGTGTGTGTGTGTGTGTGTGTGTGTGTGTGTGTGTGTGTGTGTGTGTGTGTGTGTGTGTGTGTGTGTGTGTGTGTGTGTGTGTGTGTGTGTGTGTGTGTGTGTGTGCAGGTCCTGATCCCGGTGTTTGCTCTGGGTCGAGCTCAGGAGCTCTGCATCCTGCTGGAGACCTTCTGGTAAAACTGACCCTTTATTATTACTAAACTCTCAGGATATGGTCTTCTGTTCTCCCCTGATCTGAATCATAAAGACACCTCGATGAACTGTAGTTTATAAAAACATCCCATAATAACTCTCACCAACTGATGTAATACCAGTTCTCTCCACAGGGAGAGGATGACCCTGAAAGTGTGATGGTGTAATACCAGTTCTCTCCACAGGGAGAGGATGACCCTGAAAGTATGATGGTGTAATACCAGTTCTCTCCACAGGGAGAGGATGACCCTGAAAGTATGATGGTGTAATACCAGTTCTCTCCACAGGGAGAGGATGAACCTGAACGTATGATGGTGTAATACCAGTTCTCTCCACAGGGAGAGGATGAACCTGAACGTATGATGGTGTAATACCAGTTCTCTCCACAGGGAGAGGATGACCCTGAAAGTATGATGGTGTAATACCAGTTCTCTCCACAGGGAGAGGATGACCCTGAAAGTATGATGGTGTAATACCAGTTCTCTCCACAGGGAGAGGATGACCCTGAAAGTATGATGGTGTAATACCAGTTCTCTCCACAGGGAGAGGATGACCCTGAAAGTGTGATGGTGTAATACCAGTTCTCTCCACAGGGAGAGGATGACCCTGAAAGTGTGATGGTGTAATACCAGTTCTCTCCACAGGGAGAGGATGAACCTGAAAGTGTGATGGTGTAATACCAGTTCTCTCCACAGGGAGAGGATGACCCTGAAAGTATGATGGTGTAATACCAGTTCTCTCCACAGGGAGAGGATGACCCTGAAAGTATGATGGTGTAATACCAGTTCTCTCCACAGGGAGAGGATGACCCTGAAAGTATGATGGTGTAATACCAGTTCTCTCCACAGGGAGAGGATGACCCTGAAAGTATGATGGTGTAATACCAGTTCTCTCCACAGGGAGAGGATGAACCTGAACGTATGATGGTGTAATACCAGTTCTCTCCACAGGGAGAGGATGAACCTGAACGTATGATGGTGTAATACCAGTTCTCTCCACAGGGAGAGGATGACCCTGAAAGTATGATGGTGTAATACCAGTTCTCTCCACAGGGAGAGGATGACCCTGAAAGTATGATGGTGTAATACCAGTTCTCTCCACAGGGAGAGGATGACCCTGAAAGTATGATGGTGTAATACCAGTTCTCTCCACAGGGAGAGGATGATCCTGAAAGTATGATGGTGTAATACTAGTTCTCTCCACAGGGAGAGGATGATCCTGAAAGTATGATGGTGTAATACCAGTTCTCTCCACAGGGAGAGGATGAACCTGAAAGTGTGATGGTGTAATACCAGTTCTCTCCACAGGGAGAGGATGAACCTGAAAGTATGATGGTGTAATACTAGTTCTCTCCACAGGGAGAGGATGATCCTGAAAGTATGATGGTGTAATACCAGTTCTCTCCACAGGGAGAGGATGACCCTGAAAGTATGATGGTGTAATACCAGTTCTCTCCACAGGGAGAGGATGACCCTGAAAGTATGATGGTGTAATACCAGTTCTCTCCACAGGGAGAGGATGATCCTGAAAGTATGATGGTGTAATACTAGTTCTCTCCACAGGGAGAGGATGACCCTGAAAGTGTGATGGTGTAATACCAGTTCTCTCCACAGGGAGAGGATGACCCTGAAAGTATGATGGTGTAATACCAGTTCTCTCCACAGGGAGAGGATGAACCTGAAAGTGTGATGGTGTAATACCAGTTCTCTCCACAGGGAGAGGATGACCCTGAAAGTATGATGGTGTAATACCAGTTCTCTCCACAGGGAGAGGATGACCCTGAAAGTTTGATGGTGTAATACCAGTTCTCTCCACAGGGAGAGGATGACCTTGAAAGTATGATGGTGTAATACCAGTTCTCTCCACAGGGAGAGGATGACCTTGAAAGTATGATGGTGTAATACCAGTTCTCTCCACAGGGAGAGGATGACCTTGAAAGTATGATGGTGTAATACTAGTTCTCTCCACAGGGAGAGGATGATCCTGAAAGTATGATGGTGTAATACCAGTTCTCTCCACAGGGAGAGGATGAACCTGAAAGTGTGATGGTGTAATACCAGTTCTCTCCACAGGGAGAGGATGACCCTGAAAGTATGATGGTGTAATACCAGTTCTCTCCACAGGGAGAGGATGAACCTGAAAGTGTGATGGTGTAATACCAGTTCTCTCCACAGGGAGAGGATGACCCTGAAAGTGTGATGGTGTAATACCAGTTCTCTCCACAGGGAGAGGATGAACCTGAAAGTATGATGGTGTAATACCAGTTCTCTCCACAGGGAGAGGATGACCCTGAAAGTATGATGGTGTAATACCAGTTCTCTCCACAGGGAGAGGATGACCCTGAAAGTATGATGGTGTAATACCAGTTCTCTCCACAGGGAGAGGATGAACCTGAAGGCTCCCATCTATTTCTCCACCGGTCTGACGGAGAAGGCCAATCATTACTACAAGCTGTTCATCACCTGGACCAATCAGAAGATCCGGAAGACCTTCGTCCAGAGGAACATGTTCGAGTTCAAACACATCAAAGCCTTCGACCGTTCCTACGCCGACAACCCCGGACCTATGGTACTGTATATATATATATATATATATATATCTGTGTACGTGCAGGTGGTGCGTTCAGGGTCCCTGGTAGTAATAGTATATCTGTGTACCTTCAGGTGATGCGTTCAGGGTCCTGTTATAATACTGTATATCTGTTCTTCAGGTGGTGTTTGCGACGCCTGGGATGCTGCACGCTGGTCAGTCTCTGCAGATCTTTAAGAAGTGGGCGGGACACGAGAAGAACATG